TGGTCAGGTAGCTGCGTCGGGTCAGGTGTTTGCTGCAGCGTCCACGTCTGGTCCTGAGTCTGCCCCCTGCTCGTGTCGCCTCCTGTCCCATGAGACCCTCCTGTGGCACCACAGGATGGGTCACCCCTCCCTGCCTCGTCTTCGAGGCATGGCCTCTCGCCTTCTTGTCTCTGGCCTTCCCCGGTCCCTCCCTCCCCTTCCTCCGGGGCCTGGCCCTCCCTGTGTCCCCTGTGTCGAGGGTCGCCTGCGGGCTACCCCTCACTCCTCCCCGTTTCCTCCGACGGAGGCCCCGATGCAGACGCTTCACATGGACGTGTGGGGCCCAGCCCGCGTCCGTGGACAGGGTCATGAGCGCTACTTCCTGCTGGTGGTTGACGACTACTCGCGTTACACCACAGTCTTCCCCTTGCGCAGCAAAGGTGAGGTCACTGAGGTGTTGATCGACTGGATCCGCGCAGCTCGTCTCTAGCTCAGGCGGAGCTTCGGCTCGGACTTTCCTGTTTTGCGTCTGCACTCGGACAGAGGCGGAGAGTTCTCCTCCGGCCTTCTGCGAGCCTACTGTCGGGCACGAGGCATCCGCCAGACCTTCACGCTTCCGGACTCTCCACAGAAGAATGGGATTGCTGAGCGCCGCATCGGCATTGTCATGGACGTCGCCCGTACGTCCATGGTGCATGCGGCTGCCCCCCATTTTCTGTGGCCGTTTGCGGTTCGGTACGCCGCACATCAGATCAACCTTCAGCCCAAGGTCTCCAGACCGGAGACCTCCCCAGCTTTGCTGTGGACGGGGAAGGTTGGCGATGCGTCGGCGTTCCGTGTCTGGGGATCTCGGACGTTTGTCCGCGACTTGTCTTCGGACAAGCTGTCCCCTCGTGCTGCTCCTTGCGTCTTCCTGGGTTTCCCCCCTGACGCACCTGGGTGGCAGTTTTACCACCCCACCTCTCGTCGTGTTCTGTCCTCCCAGGACGTCACGTTCGACGAGTCGGTTCCCTTCTACCGGCTCTTCCCCTACCGCACTCCGTCCCTCCCCCCCCCGCCCCTCTTCCTGGTCCCAGGTCCCCCCCCGGTAGACCCCCTCCCCCCTCAGGGTCCTGCCCCTTCAGGTGTGTCTCACGTAGACGCGGTCGAGCCTGTCGAGGTCACTGGTGACTCTGGTGCTGCTGCGGGTGCGGAGCCTCGGGGTGCTGAGACTGGGGGTGCTGAGACTGGGGGTGCTGAGCCTGGGGGTGCTGAGACTGGGGGTGCTGAGTCTGGGGGTGCTGAGCCTGGGGGTACTGAGACTGGGGGTGCTGAGACTGGGGGTGCTGAGCCTGGGGGTGCTGAGCCTGGGGGTGCTTAGCCTGGGGGTGCTGTGCCTGGGGGTGCTGAGCCTGGGGGTTCTGCGTCTGGGAGTGCTGCGCCTGCTGCTTCTGTTCCTCGTGGTTCTCCAGACCGTTCTTCGCGCCGCGAGCCGCTCTCTTCTCTGGAGCTGCGTGAGTGGTTTGCCCGGCGCTGGAGGCGAGCTGCTGGAGCTGGGGGTACTGCGGGTGCTGGAGGTTCCGTTGCTGGCGAGGGAGCTGGTACCACGGGTCCCGGAGGTGCTCGTACTGAGGGTACTCGAGCTGCCGGGCCCGGGGGTGCCTCTGGAGCTGGAGCTGCTGCGGGTGCTGGCGCTGAGGCTAAGACTGTCGGTCCTACTGCGGGTACTTCTGCAGCTGCTGGTGGTGCTGGAGTTGGAGCTGCTACTGTTACTGGTGCTGCCTCTGGAGGTGTTGGTGCTGTCCCTGCTGTCTCTGGCGGTGCTGCGCGGCCTCGGCCGTACTTCGTTCCGCTCCTTCAGCAGGTTCTTGGTCTCTCGCCTTCCACTGGTCCTTCTCCTCCTGTAGAGTGTTCGCAGCCTAACCCGTCACAGTCACAGTTACAGCCCGCCTCTCCCCTGCCTTCTCCTTCTCCCTACGCTGGTCCTACTGGAGGTCTTGCTGAGCGTCGTGAGCCTGCGTCCCGCCCTGCGTCGCCAGTCCGAGCTGCTCGCCCTAGTGGTCGCGGTTCGCGTCAGCGTCCTCCTCCTGTCCCTGGCACGCACCAGATGTCTCTGCGTCTGTCCACTGCTCCTCTGCGTGCCCCTTTGCCTTCTCCTCCTCAGTCTTCTCTTCCTACACTTGCCGACCCGGAGTCGGACTCTCACCGTGCTGCCAGTCCTACTGTCACGCGTCTTCTTGCTACTCTTGTCACTGACCCTTCCTTTGAGTCCGCTGCAGCGTCTGCCCTAGTTGCTGAGCTGGTCGACTTTGCTGCTGCGTGTCGTCTGGACTACGCTGCCAGTCTTGTTGCTGAGTCTGCTGAGTCTGCGTCTGCTGCGTCTGCGTCTGCCTGTCCTCCGTCCGTCGGGGGTGACTGTGCTCTTGGCACGGACGTCCTTGAGGACAGGCAGGAGGAGTTCCAGTGTTTTGCCGCCGCTTTGACCCATCTCGTGTCCATGCTTGTTGCCCCTGAGGGAGACCCGGATGCTCTAGACATCCCGACCCCACGCTGTTACGCAGAGGCGATGGCCGGTCCCTACTCCTCTCAGTGGCAGTCAGCCATGGACGCAGAGATGGCTTCCTGGAAGTCCACAAGCACCTACGTTGACGCTGTTCCCCCTCCCGGGGCGAACATTGTCAGTGGCATGTGGATCTTCAGGGTAAAGCGGCCGCCGGGTTCTCCGCCTGTCTTCAAGGCGCGCTACGTGGCTCGTGGCTTCAGTCAACGATAGGGAGTTGACTTCTTTCAGACCTTCTCCCCGACCCCGAAGATGACCACTCTTCGGGTTCTACTGCACGTCGCTGCTCAGCGTGACTACGAGCTACACTCTCTTGACTTCAGCACTGCTTTCCTGCAGGGCCGCTTGCACGAGGAGATCTGGCTGCGCCGCCCTCCTGGCTTCACTGGGTCGTTCCCTCCTGGTACCCAGTGGAGCCTCCGACGGCCAGTCTACGGTCTCCGCCAGGCGCCGCGTGAGTGGCACGACACACTGAGGACTACACTTGCGGCTCTTGGGTTTGCTCCCTCTACTGCTGACCCGTCGCTCTTTCTGCGCAGTGACACCTCGCTGCCGCCGTTCTACATCCTCGTGTACGTCGACGACTTGGTCTTTGCCACTGCGGACACTGCCGCACTCGCCCACGTGAAGTCCGAGCTGCAGAAGAGACACACGTGCACAGACCTGGGTGAACTGACAAGCTATCTTGGCTTGCGGATCACCCGGGACAGAGCACGCCGCACCATTACCCTGACTCAGTCACACATGGTGCAGCAGGTCCTTCAGCGCTTCGGCTTGACATACTCCTCGCCTCAGTCCACTCCTCTGCCTACGGGACACTCGCTCTCAGCTCTGCCTTTGGATGAGTCCGTAGAGTCGAGTGGTCCGTATCCAGAGCTTGTGGGCTGCCTCATGTATCTGATGATTTGCACTCGACCTGACCTCGCATACCCTCTCAGCATCTTAGCACGCTATGTTGCTCCCGGCCGTCACCGGAAGGAGCACATGGATGCAGCTAAGAGGGTGTTGCGCTACTTGTGCAGTACGTCGTGCATGGGGCTAGTGCTTGGAGGGCGTGAGCGGCCTGTGCTCACTGGGCACTCAGACGCTTCTTGGGCTGACGACCAGGCTACTCAGAGGTTGTCTAAGGGTTACACCTTAAGTCTTGGCTCTGGCTCTGTCTCTTGGCGCTCTACTCGCTCTTCTTCGGTTCTCAGCTCCAGCTGTGAGGCTGAGATCTACGCCACGGCCATGGCTGCCCAGGAGCTTCGCTGGCTCACCTACCTGCTGACTGACCTTGGAGAGCGGCCTCGTTCTCCTCAAGTGCTGTACGTCGACAACAAGGCAACCATTGCCTTGTGTGAGGAGCACAGACTGGAGCACAGGACGAAGCACATTGCTCTGCGCTACTTCCTTGCTCGAGAGCTGCAGCAGCGTGGTTAGCTTCGCCTGCGTTTCGTGGCCACTGAGGCCAACACTGCTGATGTGTTCACCAAGGCACTTCCGCCTCGTGACCATCAGCGCTTTTGCACTCTGCTAGGCCTTGTGCCCACTGGGCCTCACTTGCTTACCTCTTGACCTTGCTTGTACTGCTGCATATATATATCCTTGCTCTTGCTTGTTTAGCACTGTTATATATATATGCTCTGCTGCATGTGAACTGGCCTTGTGGCCTTGACCTTGTACTCGGAATTTGTGTGGTATCCTTGAGATCCACCCTGAGCTTGCTTTGCTTTGCTTTGCTTGACTGGTCTTGTGACCCCTTGCTCTCCCCCACTTTGCCTATGGGGGTGTGTCAGATGATTATATTACTGATGCATATATTTAGGCTGTAGTGGGGTAGCCCATAGGGGGTACAACCCAATTAGGGTTGGTACTTGTACTTGTTTCATTTTCATAGTGCACCCATTTCCTCGCCTCTATCTCAATATGATGTGTACTGAGCACGCAATGTCATTGTTGATCATACGTCTCATCAGTTATTGTGCAGAAAGGCATCGATGATGTCGTCCGCCGCCCCTGCACAGGTTCAGCAAACAAGTTAATTAGATTAATGCATGGTTTAGTGAAACTACAGCATATATTCAAGCACTAATATGACACAACCACACATCTCACCTGTTGCTGGCTCGCTTGCCAGTGCGGAGCCGTGGGACGTTGGGTTGGGATTGTTGGGAGAAGTCGACTGTGAATATGTCCCGCCATCTACCCTGACCTGTCCATTTTTCTCAGCGGGCCGGACTTGTTGGGCTTGTGGGTCAGATACTGGATGTGCCGTGCTGGGTGCAACGGATGGTGGTGTTGGTAGGACATGCGGATGGGGTGTTGTGTTCTGTGAAGCGACATGGCCTACAGGGTTGGGAGCAATGGGTACTGAAGGGGTTGGGTGTACGGCGATAGGGGCTTGCACCTGGCTGAATGGATGGTTTGGGATTTGGTTGAAAGCAAACTGCTGGGATGGAAAATGGAGGTTGGGAGGAGGGTGGCTCTGATTGTACAGCTGCTATGCACCAGGGTTTAGGGTTGCACCGGCGTGTCCCGCGAAGGCGGCGGCTAGCGGGTGGTAGTTGCCAAACGTGGCTCCAGGGTGCTGGTGGGAAAAGGGAGGTGGAGCCTGTGTGTGTACTCCTGCTGGCGTTGGGATGGAAGGCTCAGGGAGGCTGCCGAGCACTTCTCGCCAGTTCCTCCACTCTGCCCACCGCTTGGCCTCCACTATCCTTGCAACCCCATGCGTCGTCAGTCCCTCCAAGCACCGCCTCTCCTCCACGCTCAACTCCACCATCGTTGAGCTGGAGAGGGACGGTCGGCAAATGTGGGCGGCTGCGGCATATGCTTTTGCGGCATCCAAGATCTCCGTATACCGTCCAAGCACTAAAAACTTACTCTTTGCGCTATCTACGCACAGTCGTGCCGCCCACCTACCTTCCCGTTTGGTTACGCCAGTATAACCAGAGCTAAGAGCTTGACCACGCGCAGTGTTGCGACTCGTTGTCTTAGTCTCTGTGCTGTGGGCGGACACCAAATCCACATCCGCGTTCGAGGCTGTCACACCATGCCCAGCATCCACGGCCTCTCTTGCACCTATGTTACCATCCGTAGTACCCAACAAGCCTTTGGCACCTTCATCACGCACCCCCACTTCCTCATTGTCCCTCCTCGCACCGTCCGCCATATCACCATCTGCATCTTTTTCAAGCTTACTGTTATTCCCACCCACACCCGTCTCAGCGTCAGCCACAGGACCCTCGCCATGTGCACCTCTCATGCTGTCATGTGTGCCAGCGTTGTTCCCTCCCACATCCCCATGTCCCTCCCCTACAGCATCCCCTCCCGCATCCTCATGTCCCTCCCCTGTAGCGTCCCCTCCCACATCAACATGTCCCTCTCCTGTAGCGTCCCCTCCCACATCACCATGTCCCTCCCCTGTATCGACACCGCCAATGCCCGGCTGTGGAGTACGGGACAGCATCAGCTCACGCAGTTGCCTCTCGAGCTTGGCAATAGCCGCTGCCTGACTCTCATTGCGAACCTCCAGCCTATGCATCTGCTCTGCCATCTCCGCTCTCCACTCCCTATCCTCCACCTCATCACCAATCACCTCAAGCTCAGGTGGTTTCCTAATCTCATTGCCAGGAGGGATCTCATGCCCAGCTGCCGTGAGCTTGCCGATCAGCCGTCCTTCTGCCAGGGCGCACACATCCCCCTGTATGACACGCCGGTATGCCAGTGGGCTCATGCTGAACCGCACCCCATGCTCAACACCTTCGAAGCATGCCTCCACTAGCGCTTGAATGTACTGGCATACGAATATGCCGCAGTCATATTCATTCTGTTGCAGAGGCATTTGTCACGCCTGCAAAACACCAATGCCACATGCAGCGTAAATGAGAACAATAGAGTACACGATCATCATTTGACAAGGGGTGGAATGTAGAATCATTTGACAACGGGAGTTTGTAGCATGGTTGACGAGCGTTATTCTAGTCAACTCACCTCCATGACGTGTGGCTTGAAGCGCCCAAGCCGCGCCTTCATCTCTTCTATCATGTGGTTGCCATGCTCCTTCTCGAAGGCCATGCCAAGCAAGCTGTCTCCCGGTCGAATTTGTGATGCAAAAAAGTCGGATTAGCGTGTGGTTTAGTGAGACATAAGCTAGCAGAGCTAGGTTGGAGTGCTTGTGTGGGAATGGTCGTACGCAACCCCTAACAAAAGCTTACTTGGTCATGTTCTTGAAAGCATTGCCCCCCACAGCATGCATCCCGAAAGAGTCGTACAGCAGCAACCACGCAGGCTCTGTGGTGCTGTCCTCGACGAGCGGGAGAGCCACAACTCCAGGGTTGACGACAATCATCACACTGAAATGAAACCTGCATCGTTCGTTAATCCACAATATTTGTCACTGCTTAGGCATTACAACCGCAGAAGACATTAGAGTGTTGGAGAGACTAGCGAATCGTGATACTGCAACTTACCCGCCATAGATTGGCATGGCCAGATAGTCGTAGCTGAAGATCGACGGTCCCGTGACACCTTTGGCTATCTTGCCTCGAGAGCAGAAGTAGTCGTAACTCTGACTGTCCAACGCGAGCCACGTCTTGCCGTTGCTCAACTTGGGCCGGCGGATGTTCAGCACTCTGCGTTTAGACAGCCATTAAATAGGTCAAAAGCAAGAGGGAGTCGTTTGCGTTAGAATCAGAAGACACGGGTATGGCAACAAGACCGGCCATTGTGATAATGGCCCCACAACTCCAGCAACTGATACACCATGTCCGCGGTATGACACTCACATGTTATTGACAAAAGTAGAAGAAAGAAGAGGATTGCACTAGCAAGAATGGGGATACAAATAGCAAACCCTAGAAGGGTTGTACTCGCTATAGAGCACCCCACTACAGGCTAGAGCATAAGATAACATTCTGACAGTTATGAAAATCTATCAAAGGCTGCGTGATCGGCTGTTTGTCGGTGATGTGCAGAGCGTCGGCCAACGAAATAATTGCCCTCATTCCGTGATGATCACGAATCGCATTGGTGGGAAATAATGGATGCTTTAACTTGGCCGCAGTAGCTCTAGTCTCCTCATGAGTATCTAGAAACGGGATTTTAACATCTGGCGTGATTTTTGCGATAAGGTCGTCCGGCGGAGAGTGTACCAACGGTGAGTCAAACGGGGGCTCCACGCCGTAATCGTGAGGGGCTACCTTATTCAATACCACCGGCTCAAGAGTCGTGGCGCACTGCTCTTTGGTAGACGAATCGTGTGCATGCGCCAACTTCAGCCTATCGCTTCGACGACGCCCGTCATCCTCGCCATACTCTACGTCGGGTTGTGACGCATTTTCCCGTTTTCGCAAAAGTTTCCCCGCCGGTGTGTCATCACGGGTGTTTTTTCGCGGCCTTCCTACCTCGAGCGGCGCGACCTGACATAGTAACGATATGCAACGCGCCGTCCGCAGCTGTGATATGTAATTACGAGGTGATGCTAGGTAGAGCTGTCCCGGACTAAGACCTAGGAGCTATAGTAGCGTTACTACAACGCGAACCCTAATTTTGTGTGCTGTGTGACTCAGAGATAGGAACACGATCCGCTTGAAATTGGTCGGGTGAAACACGCCGTGGTTCAGGTTAGCTAAATGGATGCGGATCATTTCTGTAGCTCGCGTACGAATCGATGGTAACTCGATTTCGTGAGCGATATTAATTTGTACGAATGTGTTATTTTCAACTCGCAAAAACAACATGAGGCACGAAACTCATGGTGTCAGAATGAGAACAGATCACTAGAATGAGGGTTGGGTACAAATAGGTCAAACCTAACCCTAGAAATGTGTACCCACTATAGGCTGACCCACTGTAGCCTAAACAACCACAACATACAATGTTTGACACACCCCCATAGGCAAAGTGGGGGAGAACAAGGGGTCACAAGACCAGTCAAAGCAAAGCAAAGCTCAGGGTGGATCTCAAGGATACCACACAAGTTCCGAGCACAAACAAGTGGTCACGAGACCAGTTCACATGCAGATTTATAAAAGAACAAGAGATACAGTGATCACAACCTAGCAAGAGTAAGCATGCAGGTATATATATATAGAGATCACTGTACAAGCAAAGTCACGAAGTGAGCAAATGAGGGACAGTAGGCACGAGGCCTAGAACAGTACAGAAGCGCTGATGGTCACAAGGCTGAAGCGCCTTGGTGAACACGTCAGCAGTGTTGGCCCGAGTGGCCACGTAACGCAGACAAAGCTGACCTCGCTGCTGCAACTCTCGAGCAAGAAAGTAGCGCAGAGCAATGTGCTTCGTCCTGTGCTCCAGTCTGTGCTCCCCACACAAGGCAATGGTGGCCTTGTTGTCGACGTACAGCACTGGAGGAGAACGAGGCTGCTCTCCAAGGTCAGTCAGCAGGTAGGTGAGCCAGCGAAGCTCCTGGGCAGCCATGGCCGTGGCGTAGATCTCAGCCTCACAGCTGGAGCTGAGAACAGAAGAAGAGCGAGTAGAACGCCAAGAGACAGAGCCAGAGCCAAGGCTGAAGGTGTAACCCTGGGACGTCCGCTGAGTAGCCTGGTCGTCTGCCCAAGAAGCGTCGGAGTGCCCAGTGAGAACAGGCCGGTCTCGCCCTCCAAGCACTAGCCCCATGCCCGACTTACTGCACAAGTAGCGCAACACCCTCTTAGCTGCATCCATGTGTTCCTTCCGGTGACGGCCGGGAGCGACATAGCGTGCTAAGATGCTGAGAGGGTATGCAAGGTCAGGTCGAGTGCAAGTCATCAGGTACATGAGGCAGCCCACAAGCTCTGGATACGGACCACTCGGCTCTACGGACTCATCCGAAGGCAGAGCTGAGAGCGAGTGTCCCGTAGGCAGAGGAGTGGACTGAGGCGAGGAGTACGTGAAGCCGAAGCGCTGAAGGACCTGCTGCACCATGTGTGACTGAGTCAAGGTGATGGTGCGCCGTGCTCTGTCCCGGGTGATCCGCAAGCCAAGATAGCTTGTCAGTTCACCCAGGTCTGTGCACGTGTGTCTCTTCTGCAGCTCGGACTTCACGTGAGCGAGACCAACTGTGTCAGAAGTGGCAAAGACCAAGTCGTTGACGTACACGAGGATGTAGAACGGCGGCAGTGAGGGGTCGGTGCGTAGAAACAGCGACGGGTCAGCAGTAGAAGGAGCGAACCCAAGAGCCGCAAGTGTAGTCCTCAGTGTGTCGTGCCACTCACGTGGCGCCTGGCGGAGACCGTAGACTGGCCGCCGGAGGCTCCACTGGGTACCAGGAGGGAACGACCCAGTGAAGCCAGGTGGGCGGCGCAGCCAGATCTCCTCGTGCAGGCTGCCCTGCAAGAAAGCTGTGCTGAAGTCAAGAGAGTGGAGCTCGTAGTCACGCTGAGCGGCGACGTGTAGCAGAACCCGAAGAGTGGTCATCTTCGGGGTCGGGGAGAAGGTCTGGAAGAAGTCAACTCCCTCTCGCTGACTGAAGCCTCGTGCAACGTAACGCGCCTTGAAGACAGGCGGAGAGCCCGGCGGCCGCTTCACCCTGAAAATCCACATGCCACTGACGATGTTCGCCCCAGGTGGGGGAACCTCGTCGACGTAAGTGCCAGTGGACTTCCAGGAAGCCATCTCTGCGTCCATGGCTGACTGCCACTGAGAGGAGTAGGGACCGGCCATCGCCTCTGCGTAAGAGCGTGGGGTCGGGATGTCTGGTGCATCTGGGTCTCCCTCAGGGGCAACAAGCATGGACACGAGATGGGGCAAAGCAGCGGCAAGGCAACCAAACTCCTCCTGCCTGTCCTAAAGAACGTCCGTGCCAAGAGCACACTCACCCCCGACGGACGGAGGACAGACAGACTCAGACTCAGCAACAAGACTCGCAGCGTAGTCTAGACGACACGCAGCTGCAAAGTCGACAAGCTCAGTGACTAAGGCAGACGCAGCAGCGGACTCAAAGGAAGGGTCAGTGACAACCGTAGCCAGGAGACGTGTGACAGTAGGACTGGCAGCGCGAAGGGAGTCTGACTCGGGGCCAGCAAGAGCAGGAAGAGAGGACGCAGGAGGCGACGGGAGAGCGACACGCTGCGGAGCAGTGGACTGACGAAGCGCCATCTGGTGAGTGCCTGGGACAGCAGGAGGACGCTCACGCGGGACACGACTACCAGTAGTAGCAGCTTGAACAGGCGACGCTCGACGAGATGCAGGTGACACAGGACGTGACGCAGGCTCACGTCTCTCAGCAAGACCTCCAGTCGGACCAGTGTAAGGAGTAGGCACAGGGAGTGGGGAGGCAGGCGGTAACTGTGGCTGTGACTGGACAGACGGCGGACACTCTAAGGCGAGAGGAGGACAAGGAGGAGGACGCTGACCAAGAACCTGCTGAAGGAGCGGAACGAAGTACGGTCGTGGCCGTGCAGCAACTCTCGAACCAGCAGAGACACCAGCGGCAGCAGCAGCACCTCCAAAAGCACCAGCAGCACCTCCAGCACCAGGGTCCGCAGCACCCGCAGCAGCTCCAACGCCCGGGTCCTCAGTACTAGCAGCACCTCCAGCAGCACCGCCAGCAGCAGCAGCAGCACCTCCAGCACCAGGGTCCGCAGCACCCGCAGCAGCTCCAACGCCCGGGTCCTCAGTACTAGCAGCACCTCCAGCAGCACCGCCAGCAGCAGCAGTACCTCCAGCACCAGGGTCCGCAGCACCCGCAGCAGCGTCAACTCCGGGGACCCCAGCACCAGCAGCTCCACTCCGGAGACTGATGTGCCGAGCGTACCACTCTCGAAGCTGTGGGGAAGAGGGCGGCTCCCGCCGTGGTGGGGAAACACGAGTACCAACTCCAGTAGCACCACGAGCCCGAGACGCACCCCGCCGGAGGCTGCAGTACCGTGAGTACCACTCACGTAGCTGCTGCGAAGAGGGAGGTCCTCCAGGCGCCTCACAGTCAACTGCAACACCACCAGGCTCAGCACCCCCAGTCTCAGCAACGCCAGGCTCAGTACCCTCAGGCCCAGCACCCCCAGGCTCAGCACCCTCAGTCTCAATACCCCCAGACCCAGCACCCCCAGGCTCAGCACCCCCAGCCTCAGCACCCC